CCCCATGTTTTAAAAATGCTGCCAGTATCTTGAAGTTCACATCTATCAAACTGTTACATAATAATTTTGCTAAGTCTGCATTACAACCTCACTGTCCTCTTTCATACTTAAAAGAGAAACAACACTCCCTCCCACTGAGATTCACCTTGAGCATTGATCCTGCTGTTTCTGGTAATGCTTCCAAATGGAGGAACAGAAATATCAGAGACAAGGACTCTGGCCAAGGAAGTGTCTGGACATGTGAATGCCACAGCCAGTCTTGGATAACAACTAAGTGGGGCTCTCTTCCCCAATGACCTTGTAAATAGCTGGATGAGCTATCACTCAGTTGGAAGCAAAAAGGGGTGTGGGAAGAGATGAAGGCAACATCACCCCAATCCAACTCATACATCCACAAATTTATTCAAGTGAATTCTCTGACCTGTGGGAAGAACATGTCTTACTATCCAAGTATACCTTAGTAGGACATTTTCCAGAAAAATCAAGATAAAAAAAAATTTTTTTCTCAAGGAACAAAAACAATTAGGAACAAAGCAAAATCTAACTCTCCAGATTGCAGTCTTTCTGCCTCTAACCTTGGTCAGTCCTTGGTTTCTAGGAACCTATATTCACACAGCAATTTTTTAAAATGCTCCTCTTTTCTCTCAGTCGGGAAAGAATCCATGGGCGTGCCAGTAGGTAGATGCTGCTGGGAGCGCTATTTTAAAGCTAATGTGTCAGTGAGTTTCTGACCACCTACAGCCGGAGAAGATTCCACAGGACTTATCGGCCTCCTTAGGACTGATTATCTTGCTTTCCTGGCCAACCTGAAGTGTTAGAAATTATACTCTTGTCCTCCAGCATCTAAGGACAATTCCAGCCAGAAGCAGTTTACTGTTGAGTCAATTCTGACTCATAGTGACCCAGTATGACAGAGTAGAACAGCTCCAGAGGGTTTTCCAGGCTGTAATATTTACAAAAAACCATGCACTATCTCCTTGTTCCATTCCAATGACTGTCTCTTGATGTACATGCAGGTTTCCTAGGAACACAATTAAGTGCTCTGAAATTTGCGTTCTTTGCAATGTCCTTCATAATTTGTTATGATCCCCATAGTCAAATGCCTTTGTGTAGTCAATAAAATACAGGTAAACATCTATCTGATATTGTTTGCTTTTAGTCAAGATCCATCTGACATCAGCAATAATATCTTCATTTTACATATTCTTCTGAATCTGGCTTGGATTTCTGGCAGTACTACTACAAACATTTTTGAATTATTTTCAGCAAAATTTTACTTGAATGTTGTGGTGGTTAAATTTGTATGTCAACTTGGCTGGGCCTGGTTGAGTGGCTGGGCAGCTGGTGGTAGTTATTCCCTGTGATGAGACTGGCCATCAACTCCATGTTGGGATCTACCACAATCAGCTGAGTAGCTGCCTTTGGGATGTAATCTGCTTCCTGTATAGAAGGAGAAGCCTGGGGGATAGTTTCTAGCTTATGGCATGCTTGGACTCTGCATGTAGCATGTTGTTGTTCAGCAGCCTGCCATGCTTTGCCAACCTTGGACTTACAATGGACTTAAATTAATGGCCTGTCGTGTGGTTTGGTAACATCAGGACTGTGCCTTTTTACTTGTCAACCTTAGATTTGTCAGCCTCAGCAGCTAGCAGCTGTCTAAGTGAAGAAAGCCTCTAGCTCCAGTGGGCCAGGAGCTGGAGGCAGAGCTGGACCCCAAGGTTGAGGGGCTTTCACCCAGCCCCTAGAGCCTGGCACTTTGAACTTGGACTTAAAGCCTCCAAACTGTAAGAGAATAAACTCCTGTTTGTTAAGGCCATCCCATTTGTGATATATTCCTGTCAGAGTGGCACTAGGTAACCAGAACACATGTAATATTAATGACATTGTTCAATAATTTCCACATTCTGTTGGATCATCTTTCTTTGGAATTGGTACAAACATGGATCTCTTCCGGGTAGCTGTTTCCAAATTTCTTGGCATAAACAAGTAAGTAAATGCTTCCAGCATTGCATCCATTTGTTGAAACATCTCAATGGGTATTCTGTCAATTCCTGGAGGCTTATTTTTCACCAATGCCTTCAGTGCAGCTTGGACTACTTCTTTCATTATCATCAGTTATTGATCATATACTACCTCCCGAAATGGCTGAATATCTATCCATTTCTTTTTCACACAGGGAGTCTGTGTTTTCCTTCCATCATCTTTTGATGCTTCCAGTATCATTCAGTATTTTGCCCATAGAATCTTTCAATATTACAACTCAAGGCTTGAATTTTCTCTTCAGTTCTTTCAGTTTGAGAAATGGCAAGTGTATTCTTCCCTCTTGTTTTTCTAACTACAGGTCTTTGTACATTTCATTATAGTACTTTACTTTGTCTTCTTGAGCATGGTTTAGAAACAGGCAGATGCATTAGGTTCGTATCCTTTCATCGTACTTATTCAATCTGAGAGGTTGGACTATATGAAGAAGAATGTGGCATCAGGATTAGAAGAAGACTCATTAACAACCTGTGATATGCACTTGCTTGCTTAAAGTGAAGAAGACTTCAAGCACTTACTGATGAAGATCAAAGACTGCAGCCTGCAGTATGTATTACATCTCAACATAAAACAAAAACCCTCACAAATGGACCAATAAGCAATATTACAATAAATGGAAAAAAGATTGATTTGTCAAGGATTTCATTTTACTTGGATCCACAATTAATGTCCATGGAAGGAGCAGTCAAGAAATCAAATGATGCATTGTACTGTACAAATCTGCTGAAAAAGACCTCTTGAAAGTATTAAAGAGCAAAGATATCACTTTGAAGACTAAGGCGCACCTGACTCAAACCAGTATCTTTTCAATAGTCTTACATGCATGTGAAGGCTGCACAATGAATGAGAAAGACCACAAGAAGAATTGATGCATTTGAACTGTGATGTTGGTGAGGAATATTGAATATACTATTGCTTACAAGAGGAGCTCTGGTGGTGTAGTGCCTAAGGCATTTGACTGCTCATCAGAAGGCTGGCAGTTCAAACCCACCAGCCACTCCTTGGAAGAAAGGTTGGGCAATCTACTTCCATAGTGATACCACCTTGGAAACCCAAGCAGGGGTTACTATGTGTTTTGGTTGCATTGCTTACAAGAAGAATGAACAAATCTGTCTTATAGGAAGTACAGGTGGAATGTCTTTAGAAGTGAGAATGGCCAGACTTCGTGTCTTATATGTTGGTCATGTTGAGAAGGATATCATGTGTGGTAAAGTAGAGTGTCAGTGAAAAAAGGGGAGGATCCTCATCAAAATGGATTGATACAGCTGCTGCAACAATGGGCTCAAGCATAGCAAGGACTGTGAGGATGGTGCAGTGTTTCATTCTGTTGTACACAGGGTTGCTATGAGTAGAAAGCTACTTTAAGGCACCTAACAACAACACACAATCTTTGCAAGCACAGATTAACAACTCTTCTCTCCCATGGAGCCAATGATATGTTCAAATATCTTTTCTTTACCATAGTTTCTTTAGCAGCCAAGCACTTTAACCACTGTCTCACCAGGGCACGTGACCCATTCATAAACCAAAACCCACTGCCATTGAGTTGATTCTGACTTACAGTCGCCCTACAGGACAGAGCAGAACTGCCCCATGGGGTTTCCAAGGTTGTGATTTTTATGGGAATAGACTGACTCATATTTCTCCCATGAGACCCACATACTGGGGTCCAAATTATTAGGCTGAGTGGCAGAACTGTGCTAACATTTCTAAGTGTCTCCTGCTGTTACAGTTTACTTTTGGTATAAAATCATGTTGATGGAGGGGCAAATCTTACACAAAAAGCTCCATTCACTTAAATGTTGGAGGCGTAAATCTTAACATGAATGAATGATCAGCAATACCTAAGTACACAGGATCAAATGCTTCTATGACAAACTACCATGAAGGAAAATGTATCTCACATCGAAGAAGGGAGGTGGTGGTGGCAAAAACCTGGTTCCAGGCTCTTTTAACTAACCTCTGGGAATAAAGAATTGTGTATGTACATGCCCACAGGTGCTTAAGGCAAAAGTTAAAAGTGTAGGCAGGATAGCAATGGGAGTGCTGGAATGACAGGCAGAATATCAGGGTACATTTCAAGGCTGTATTGAAGCAGGGCCCAAAGACAGGAAAGACATTATGCATAAGACAGAAAAAGAGAGGCTGTTGCCTTCTGACAATTATTAACGAGTCTTCCTGCACATCATTATTCATTCATTCACTTTTAGCCTCATCAGCATAATCTGCCCTTGGGGGAAGAGAGGAGAAGTTAAAAGAGGATCTATTAACCAAAAGGCTGGTAGTTCAAACCCATTCAGAGGTACGTTGGAAGACAGGCCAGTTGATATGTTTTCTAAAAGTGACAGCCTTGAAAATCTATGGAGCAATTCTACTCTGCACACATGGGGTCGCCGAGTCAGAACTGACTCCATGGTAACTAACGACAACAACAACTCCCGGAGGATAGAGTCTGACTGAACTGCTTGTGGTCAGGGACCAGGTCTTCTATTATTAGTGGCTGGCATGCAGTAGGTATTCAGTAAATATTCTGCTGAATGAGTGAATGAATTGAAAATGGTATGGAGGCAAAGGCTGTTTCCTCTTTGTATTTTTCTTTACAATAATCTTCATGGAGGATGATGATTAAACGGGCCAAAGTGAACTAACCAGGTATTTTAGACTACAGACTAGCAGGTGAAATAGTGACAAGAAGAAAACACTTCGTATTTTAGGTCTCTGGAATAGAATTCAGGGTGTTTTTTTTTTTTTCTTTTTCTTTTGTTCTTCTCTTAATCAAAATAAGTTCTAGCCATTAAAAAAGAGTGGTTGAGGGGGAAGATACCATCTCAAGAGACACTTCAGTTGTTGGGCTTCATTTCTTCCCACACTCCCTTTAAAACTGTCTTATATAACTGGGTCTGCTCAGAAGAGCTCAAAAGGAGCTGCTCGTGAGCCAATTACCAGATAAAGGGCCTTACCTGTATGCAAGGGCCCCAGCAAAATGACTCTCAATGTAAGTGTCCATTACAGGCTTAAAATGATGAAATTTGCTATCCTGGAGCAAATTTATTATGTGAACCTGAAAAAGAAAATTGAGTTTTATAAAACTGATGCAAACCAAGATTTTCTTTTTGTTATTTTTAAATGAACAATGATGCTACTCAGTGCCTATTTCTGAAACATTCTTACGAATTCATGATCAAGAAAGAAAATCGTTAAAATGTCATTAAAGGAAATTTAAACTTACCAAAGAATCAAACACTTTAGACCCATATTTTTGGGAATTTTCATCTAAAATGCCAAATAAGGTATCCAATGTATCTTGTAGGAACTGTTACAATAAAGAAGAAGTAAATGAATAAATACAGTATTATCTGCCTTTCCCCTCCAAATGTTCTTTCCTCTACAAATTTCCAAGGAGGGTGTTATGAAGTAGCACATACCTTTACTATCTCTGAGCCATCAATTTCCTTTAATTTAGAGAGACAGCCTGTGATCTTTTCTGGGTGGGCTCTCCATTTCAAAAGATCAAGCATATCACCTGTGTAAACAGAAAAGGAACATGAGTTTCTTTCCTAGAAAACAATCCCTTGCATAAAGTGTTCTGCTGGTAAAAGATGAACCACCAAACATGTTGCCCACCCTGCTTGCCACTCCAGTTGCAGGCACCTGCAGAATATGAACAGCTCCCTAGGATGGCATTTATTACAGTGTTTTGTAATTACTTCCTCCCTCCTTATGATGTTGATTTACTCCTACTCATCCTTTGGAGCCCCATAATGGTGCAAACTATTAACCCACTCAGGTGCTAATTAAAAGACCGGTGGTACAAGCCCACTCAGAGGCTCCTTGGAAGAAGAGCCTGACAATTTATTTCCGAATAATCAGCCAGTGAAAACCTTATGGATCACATATTCTGACACACATGTCAGAATCACCTTAAGTTGAAACTGCCTTGATGGTAACTGGTTTTGGTTGTTCATCCTTCAGTTCTCAGGTTAGAGGCTGCTCCTTCAGGAAGCCTTTCCTGAAATGCATATACTGAGTTATGCCACTCCTCTGAAGGAAGATTGGGCAATCTACTTCCATAGTGATACTGCATCGGAAACCCAAGGAAGGGTTGCTATAAGTCGGGTCCGACTCAATGGCAAACAACAACAAAAATAACAACATGATACTTGGTGGCACAATGGTTAAGTGCTCAGCTGCTAACCAAAAGTTTGTCAGTGAGAACCTATCTAGTGGCTCCACAGATGTGATGTGCTTCTGCAAAGATGGCAGACAAGAAAACCCAATGGAGCAGTTCTTCTCTCTTACATGGGGCTGCCATGTGTCAGAACCAACTTGAGGGCACCTAAAAACAACAACAACAACAACAATATACTCCCACAACATAGTAGCACTTATCTCACCATCACCGTTGTTTATCTGTGTCCCTGACTGGCCTGTAAGCTCCAAGAGGAAAAAACCATTTTGAACTTGACCTTTGAGTATCCCTAGCACCAGGAATATAGCAGGCATACAGCAGGCAGTTGATAAGTATTTACTCAAGAATTTTCTGCCTCCTCTCAGGAGAATGGGAGGCTCTCGAAGGCTGTGATTCTGCATCATTCATATTTATATCCCTAGAACACAGTACCCATAGCAACCAATGCCACCCACCAATGAAGGTCTTGGTAGTTTGGTTTGTGTGTCAGCTTGGCTGGGCCTGGTTGAGTGGCTGGGCAGCTGGATGGAGTATTCCCCATGAGGAGACTGGTAATCACCTCCATGGTGGAATCTACTGGGAGCAGCTGAGTAGCTGCCTTTGGGAATGTGCTCTGCTTCCTGTATATAAAAAACAGCTTCGGGAATAGTCTCTAGCCTATGGCATGCTTGGACCCTGCATGTAGCCCTGTCATTGCTTAGCAGCCTGCTTTGCTCTGCTGACCTTGGGACTTACAATGGACTTAAGTTATTGGCCTGCCATGTGGTTTGGGAACATCAGGACTGTGCCTTTTTACTTGTCAACCTTGGGGCTTCTCAGCCTCAGCAGCCAGCAGCTGTCTGAGTAAAGAAACGCCTTTAGCTCCAGTGGTCTGGGAGCAGGAGGCGGAGCTGGACCCCAAGGTTGAGGGCCTTTCATCCAGTTCCTAGAGTCTGGCACTTTGAACTTGGACTTAAAGCCTCCAAATTTGAAGAGAATAAACTCCTGTTTGTTAAGACCATCCCATTTGTGGTATACTCCTGTCAGAGCAGCACTAGGGAACCAGAACAGTCTTCTTCACCATCTGACCCAAACCATATAGGAGAAGAAAGTCCTAACACAAAGATGACCAGTTCTGCGAATGGCCAGAATCATCTGGCGAAAATAAAAATGCCAATTCTTGGACTCCAAGGGCTGGTTTTCCATCACAGATTCTAGGTAAGCTCAGGACTTAGCTCTCCAAGTTCCTCCCCCTCCTAAACAGACAATGCATGGGTCCTGAGTCTTGGAAGGGCCTCTGAGAACCTCTTCATCTGTTGAGGGTACATATTCACCCTCATCGCTCCTTAAAAGAAGTTGGGAAGGCTCCTGATGACATTGCCTATGCTTAATGTCTCCAAAGGGAGCAGGGATCCAGGGGCAGCTGGAGGTCACAGAAGGCAGCACGAGCTGACATATGCATGCGAGAGAGGCACTGAAGGTGGGACCTAGCAGGGAGGCTCTTCCCAGGACTCAGTGGGGTTGAGTGACTGGAAGGTGCAGAGGAACACCATGAAAGATTTCCCAGAACTGAGAGTGAAAAATTCACCCTAAAATAGTTGTATCAAGAGAAACCCAAATGGGACTTGCCGAGAGGCAGAGAGATCACTGGTGGGGTGGGAGGAAAAAAGAAATCAAGGAAGTAGTTATGGTGAAAAAGAAAATACGATGTAGTGAATAGAAAGAAGAAAAAGCATAAGAATCTCAAGAGGAAAAAGAAGCAACCCCTACCACAGCCAGAATCAAGAGAAAATGCCATGAAGGACTTCATAGTAAGAAATGTAGTATGTAATAGGAATGTTTACCCGCAAGAAGAGGGATAAGGGCAGGAGGATGGTGATTTAGAATTAGATAAATGAAGGGAAACATAAAAAGGTCAAAAAAGAGACTTTTGAGGTTATCATAAAAAACAAAAAGAAAAAAAAACAGAAAAAAAATGTTTAATATTCATATTTAAGACATCCTGGGATGTGATTGAAACCTTTATTTAGAATAGTGGATATGTCCAAAGAAAGAGAGGTGGTAGAGGCGGAAGGAACTCTACTATTCTTTTGGTCTCTTTGCTCCCTCCCTGCATGGAGCTTTAGGGTGCCTCCCTTCCTTGGCATTTTCTCTGGTGTAATTTCCCAATGTACTTTCCCTGTCATTCACCCTGCACTTCCCACACTTTTTGATAGTAGATCACCAGGTCTTTCTTCCAAGATGCCTCTGGGTACACTCGACCTTTTGGTTAGGAGCTAAGCAAATTAACTGTTTGAACCACCCAGGGTCTCCAAAAAAATTAATACAACCTGAAAATAGTCTACTTGAAGCATGCAGTTAATTATGCTCTGTAACAGATCTACTGCTAAACAGTATAGGATGGATAAAATTCTATGCTAATGGAGTCAATAAAAGGTTGACTTTATTCACTTTATAGCCCTCCTGGAGGCAGACTGGCCCCATATAAAACACATGAAGTCTGGCAAATACTTTATAATCATTTGCATTTATGTAAATGGAGAATTTATTTAAGCAAAATAATTAATTACTGATTACTGTTAAACTCAGATAAAATGTCCTATCTTGTTAACTTGGTAGTAGCTACTTGCCATCAAATTCACTAAAAATAAATTATGCAGTTGATTTTTAAAAGTAGTTCTCCAAAAAAACCTTTGAAAGAGGAGATATAAAAACTTATAAAAATATGAAAGAATACTTGTTTCCAACTCCTATGTAAATATTGTTGCATTGAATACTGAAATCAAGAGGTATTTTTAAAGTGATCAATATTATAATGCCGCATTTTGGTTCTTCTCTGGTGCATGTTCTAGGAGAAGAGCACTATACATGTTGTTCTGGGCCATGTAAAGAAGAACTAATACCAATTACAGCATTTAGGCACAAGAACATTTAATGAGCCACAACACCTTATTATGAAATGATTCTCCGCAGTAAAACAAATCTGACTTATTGATATGGCAACCAGGGTGCTAGCCAAAAGCCTTATATGGCAAACATGAAGAACACAAAAACATGTAATTTACTTCCTTCATTACAGACAACAATGTTTTCATAACAGCTTGCAAGAAGAGCTTGCTTTATTAATCATAACTTGCTAAACAATCACTGACATAAAAAGTAACGCTAGAACAGAAAAGCAATATCCATCTAATTAAACAAAAAACAGCCTTTATTCCAAAGCCTGCAATTAGCACTGTTTATGGAGCTATAAAACAAGAGATTGAGGTAGTGGTATTCTTTGTCTTTGTTTTTTAAGCAGCTGGGTTACAGTCGTTTATGTGAAGTGTTGTGTACATGGTTTCTAATACTGGCTAATACTGAAGTCCATTTTAAGTTAAACACACTCATCATATCTTTGGGCCACAATTATTTCTATTCTGTTGGAAACTGCAAATAGAAGAATCAATACTTTTTCTAGTGGGAAGTTCTTATGCATAATTTTGGTGTTCATTAAATATGTGTACCAAAGTTCACATGAGTACTTCAAGTACAAAGGTTTTCAAAGAAAACAGTGTTATACATTACCGTTTTGTGTGAGTTTCGTGGAACAGAGAAAAGATGTTATCCAAAAGGACTCCTTTGTGGCCTTCATGACTTGGTTATTATTCCCAAGGAGAATGCCCTTAGAAAAGGGAAGCCTGAGGTAGCGGGTAGTATCTTGAAGGTTTGTGTTTTCTTCACACTGTTAAAAATACCGAAAAAAAAAAAAAGGTGGGGAAGAGACTTCATAAAAATTATTAAGGATAATTTCCATTCCTAGTGTTTTACAAATAGAATTTGGCTTTTAAGTAAGATGCAAAAAAGAAAAAAAGTGTAAAAGGAATTAAGCATACATTTTGGAGTCAGACCAATTTAGGTTTGAACAGCAGCTCTGCTACCTCACATATGAGGTTAACCACTTAGGGTTTGCATTTCTCTAAAATTTTATCATGTGTCTTAAGAAACAGATGGCATAAAGTCCTAAACACAGTGGCTGATACACTGGAAATGCTCAAGAAATCCTGTTCACATTGACCATAGCATTAAAAAAAAAGTAATTTTTTCCAACATCCCACCTGATGCAGCTATTAAACCGTTCCTTATTTTGGAAACCAGCAATTAAAAGAAAACTGTATTTCAGAGTAATCGAATAGTCCTAGTGTGTGAGGAAATCTCTTTTTCACAGATGTATTTCAGCTAACAAAAGCAATGCTAGGTTTAGAAAATATAGTATCTGTGATAGTTGGAGCTGTGTGTCAATTTGGCTGGACCACAATTCTGTGTGGTTTAAGCAACTGTGATTTGAGTTGTTCCAATGATGTGATTAGATGTATATGTTTTGAGCAGCCAATCCACTGAAAGGCAGTTTCCCTAGGGGCGTGGCCTGCTTCCAGTATATTTATGGACATCCTGGGAAAAGAGACACTCTTCTGTGGATTGGGATTCTGCTGTGCTGCCTACAACTGTCTGCTACAATTGTGAGTGAGCAATCCACCGTTCAGCCTGGAAATCTTGGATTCGTCATTCGTTGGAGTCAACAGCCAGGATGCTGCTTGACAACCTTGAGCTCCTCAGCCCCTGCAGCTGCACGAGTCAGGAAAAGCCACTAGCTCTTGTATTTCACTACTAGGAACACCATGCACAAGGAGCCAATACCATAATTCCACAGGAGTCAGACTATTCTGATTACTGTTCCAACTCTGCTGTTCATTATGGTAACCACACCCACCCTGCCTCTACTACCACGGGCTCCAATCAGCCCCATGGTAAAGTGTCTTAGTTTTAGTAGGGCAGTTCCCACTGTCAAATCCGGTTTACATAAAATAGCAATCACAGCAGTCTTCAAGGATGTTGGAGCTCCCTTCACAAATTTATTCCTCATTGGTGAAAGGTGTGTCTTCTGGACTCCCCATTTCTGGCTCTAGGGGTCTAATCTGATAAATCCATTCTAACAGCTCAATTCCCCTAAGCCTCTGGATACCTTCTTCTACATTATACCAAGACAACGCCAATTAAATTACTAACCCAGAATGGTGTCTTAAGTTAAAGTGAGGGCATTGATTGCGAAAAAATGGGATCCTGAAACCTGGAATGGTGACATATTAGCAGCAGTCAGGATGATCAGGATATGGAGCCTGTAAATTCTGTTGAGTCCCTTCCATTTGAAGGGATTACTGTAAAACCATTATCCCCTCCACCTCAGTTTGATGGGATTAACCCAACTGCTCCTGCTGGGTCATTGCCTGAGGCAGAGATCATGGAAGCCATCAGTGGATGTTCTCAGGAACTGCCCCAACCACCCATTGTTGCTGCTAGACCTATAACTAAAGTTAAGTCCAAGCAAGCCCCAATTGTGGTATCTCAGTTTTTGTGTCAACATGGCTGGGCAGCTGGATGTAGTATTCCCCATGATGAGACTGGTAATCAACTCCATGGTGGAATCTACTGTGAGCAGCTGAGTAGCTGCCTTAGGGAATGTGGTCTGCATCCTGTATATAAGCAGAAGCTTTTGGGAATGGTCTCTAGCTTATGGCACGCTTGAACCCTCCATGTAGCTGTGTCATTGTTCCGCAGCCTGCCATGCTCTGCGGACCTTGGGACTTACAATGGACTTGAGTTAATGGCCTGCCATGTGATTTGGTAACATCGGGACAGTGCCTTTTTACTTGTTGACCTTGGGCTTGGCAGCCTCTGCAGCCCTCTAGCTTCAGTAGGCTGGGAGCTGGAGGCAGAGCTGAAGCCCAAGACTGAAGGGCTTTCACCCAGCCCCTAGAGCTTGTCACTTTGAACTTGGACTTAGGCCTCCAAATTGTAAGAATAAACTCCTGTTTGTTTAAGCCATCCCATTTGTGGTATACTCTTGTCAGAGCGGTACTAGGTAACCAGAACAGTATCATATCCCAAATATAATTATTTCTGTAGTCAAGAATTGTCTGTTAGTGCTAAAACCATCAGGAGAATTGTTGATGAGAAGTTGGACATTTGCATCATGCCAATACACCAATGCATAAAACAATTACTTCCTAGTGGCAAGAGGACAAATATCACTGCACATGGAGGGATCAGGTTGTCATGTCAATTCAGAACAAGGCAAGAAAGTACTGCCTTGCATTCCTATAGTACCTTGCATTCCAAGTACCTATATTCATTCCTAACAAAGATGTTGAACTTGAGTCCATTATACCTAGAGAGTCAACTGCCACATTGCAGAAAATACAAGGGGTAGAGCGACATGCTAAATAACACCATGAGGAAGCAACCCCTCAAACCCACAGGCTTTCTGCAGGATGCCTGACTTTGTTTCTTCTATTTAGTGCTGTGAATTAGAAGGTAATTTTAGATTAAACAGCACTTAAGAGAGAGAGAGCCAGATATAACGTGTAACCCTAGATTGGATTTTGGTTTAGACAAACCTGCTGAAAAGGATGTTTTGAGAAATTTGTATATAGACTAAGTTTTACATGGGATAACAATGTACTCAATGAAAAGATCATTAACTGAAAAAATGCAATGCAACTGCTGCCATAGAGTCAGCAACCCCTCCTTGGGTTTCCGAGGCGGTATCACTACGCAAGTAGATTGCTCAACCTCCCTTCCGAGGAGTGGATTGAAAAAAAAAGTAGGTTAAAAATCAAAATATACTATAAATATCATTTGGGTAAAAAAATTCATACATAAAAATATCTGAAAGGATATACACTAAGGGGTTGATAATTAACATCATGTGATTTTCATTTTTGACTACTTTTGTAATAGTTTTAAAATTTTTTTCTATTTTTTTGTTATATATTTAGAAAAAAATATTATATATTTTGTTATATACTTTTATAATATACATTTTTGAAAATATATTTTTGAAATGTTTTCACTTAGAACTAGATTATTTTTAGTATAAATTTTAAATCTCATATGAAAATAAGTCCTTCCAGGAATAGGTAAGGAGTTTAGACACAGAATCCTTTCGGTATTTTAAACTTGTGTGATTTACAAAATATTTTAAAACTATAATAATAAATCTTTAACAAAGATCCCTGTAACAAGTTTAGAGTCAGAATTAGAATGTTACGAGATGTTCTCACCAGTGCACCTGCCCAGTAAAAGAAGAACCAATGCAGACACAAAACACTGCCTGTATAATTCTCTTCTAATGTCACAACTCCAAATTTTTTATTATTGTGCGATATTTCATATAGACAGCACAGTGCATAAAACATATGTGCATGGTTTAAAGTGAACACTTTCAATGCTTTCTTCAGAAAAGATGCCCAGGCAAAACAATATTCTGAAATTCTGGATTGCTAATCCCCTCTCTCCCCTTCTAGCTTTGTTCTGCTATCAAGGCCATGGACACATAGTCATAGTAGGAATCCAGGAATCTCAAATTCACCCTATTCCCTTCCTAGATGACCTATGAGGTTAGGTGTCTGGTCTGACCCCTCATCCCTAGCACATCCCTACACTCAACCACCAGTTTCTATTGTGACTAGCGTCTCATGCCAAACCCATCCCAGACACACTGCCTGGCTATTTCTAGGCCTCCTCCCCAGGTGCTGGAACCTGCTCTAAAGTGCTCCATCTGTTTAGAGAAATGCTGCCCCTATTGCTACAACTTTTAGTCCCCTTGGCTCCCAACTAATTGCCTGGCTCTTGAACACCCCCAGCAACCTTTAGGAACTCCTGCATGGTATGGTCTTCCAGCTCAAGTGGTTGTCATGGGATTGACCACTTCCATGATCAAAGACGTGATGGCTGTGTTGTGACCTTAGGGGCACTGTGAATAGAAACACTTGGCTGCCTTCTCCAGGGCTAGTCATTGTGGCCAGATAAGTTACATAAATTTTCTTCACTTCTTCCCCAGCCTGGGTAGCCAAAGCCTCAGTTTCTGAATCTGTCTGAGACATGAGACCTTGAGAGTTTCTTATAGCTAAACTCTATCTACCTCACTTAAGCACATAATACAATAATTAATATAAACATTGCTTTCAACACAAATGCTAGTTCAAGACTTTCCCAAGATGCTGGTGTATATGGGGAGGGGGGCAGTGAAAATGAATGTATTCTCTCCATCAATTTAGTAAAGCAATGCATGTAATCACCCTTTAGTCTCCATTAACTCTTTGATATAATTACCAGGACCGCAAGACTTATTTTTGTCCATCAGGAATTAAAAGTGATATGATAAGTATAGGATTAGATTCAGAGGTTTTGGAGAATTTAAGTGGTCTCAAGAAATTGCACAGATACTCTCAGAACCTATCTTTAATTGTTCTTTGAGGTTTTCAGCAGGCATCCTTAACACATCATACAAACATTGGAAGTTTTTAAAGTAATGCAAGAAAATACTGCTTATACTATACATCAGGCACTGCTAAGCATTTTACATATATTTGTCTTGTCTTGTCTTCTAAACAAACCTACTAGGCAGGATATTGTGCCCTGGGGAGTCTGTCTGATTTGTCCAATGTCCCAATATTAGTGTTAGAGCCAGAATTTGAACCAAAGCTTGTGTTCACAACTGCTATGGGACACTGCTTCCCTTAACTGTTGTTTTAACAAGGCTTTGAATTTTATACAACAAATTGAATATTTGTTAATTAATAAATGGAAGAGTGAATGGTGGTTATGGCTAAGAAAACCAAGAAAAGTTCACTTTTCAAAAAAAAAAAAAAAGCAGGTTATATTTAAGGAAATACCATGGGAGAG